GGGGGTTCTTAACCACTGACCCACATGCCCAATCCTTTTTAAATTTTCTTTATTAAATTATTTTGAGACTACATCTTGCTAAGTTGCTTAGGGCCTCACTAAATTGCTGAGGCTGGTTTTGCCTTTGTAATCCTCCCGTTTTAGCCTCCTAAACCACTGGGATTACAGGCATGCCCCACCATGCCAAGCTTGTTATATATAACATTTCTTTCAAAATGAAGCATTTGTATTATCCTTATATGCACATATGCTTTTTGTAAAAATATTTATTTCAGGGCTGGGGATGTGACTCAAGTGGTAGCTCGCTTGCCTGGCATGCGTGCAGCCAGGGTTCGATCCTCAGCACCACATACAAACAAAGATGTTGTGTCCGCTGAAAAAACTAAAAAATAAATATTAAAAAAATTCTCTCTCTCTCTCTCTCTTTTAAAAAATATTTATTTCTGTAAAAAAGAAAATGAATATATTTTAGAGTTAAATAAAACTAACGAAAGAGATTGATCATACATTATAAAAAATATAATAGCATCATGGGTATTTTTTATTTCCTTCTTTTTAATCTGTTGGTAATTTCCAAGTTTTCAGTCACAAACATTTTACTTCCTGAATGAGGAAAAAAAAATAGACACTGGTATTGCTGTATGTATACACGTGTCTGCATAACCAATGTGATTCTGCAACCTGTACACTTGGACAAATGAGAAATTATACCCCATTTGATTTAAATGTATGCTATGTCAAGATCATTGTATCGTCATGAGCAACTAATTAAAAAAAGAAAAAGTTCTAAATAATCGAAGGAATCTGAGCCATCAGTTGAACCCCTGATTTTGTTGGGCCATCTGATTTTCTCAGAATGCTTCGATTCTGGTGACAAGGGAATTGTTAAGGAGACACCCCAAGGTCCTCGGCACGGGGTTCACTGGAGCCCTGCAGTCCTGAGCCTTGGCTGCAAGGTTGCAGTGTGCTGCACAGAGAAAGCCATTGTAAGAGCTGGACTCCCGGGACCTGCCCATGACTGAAAGGCGTGTTCTTGGGAACAAACCCGAGCATAATGAAGAAAGAAGGGATTGGAGCCACAGGCTTGTATCACAAAAAAAAAAAAGAGAAACAACGACTCTCCAGAACTTTCCTAGGCGTTTCCAACTTGACATTTCCTTCCTTGACCTTTTAGCTTCTTGCTTTCTTTTCCATCCACCCATCCAGAGCCAATTTAGATTGATCTTTAGTTTTCCCCCAAGAACTCAAAACGGCAGAGCTCTGAATTCAAGCAGGCAGATCCAGGGACAGACTTGCCCTCCGTTGACACATAGTGACCTGACCTTGGAGTAGCCCCTGCCTAACTTAGGATCCTGAGTCAGGGGATGGATTTCCCAGACTTGAGGGAGGCCTGGCTATTCTGTGTGGTTTCTTTTCCTGTACAAAAGTATGGTACACTGGATCACTGCTGAGCTCCTAATCCCATCATTTTGTGGGGTTCCACCATGGATTTCCCTTGAATGGCATTCAAACATAGATAAAAAGAGATTACTTTTGCCTTTAACCCTGATGGCAATATTAACACTTGGAGGGATGGGGACAGGGGCAGAAGCCAGCAAGGAGGAAAAAGCTTTATGATTTCAAACTTGCCTTTTGGTCCAGGACCAGCTCTCAGGACACTCGAGCCACTTTGTCCTCTTCCCTGTCTTTGTACTTCTGCAGAATTGCTTTGGGTTCTTTCAGCAAATTCTTGCTCTTTGAAAGCTTCTGGTTGCTCTCTCTGGGAACCCTGACCTCTCCTCATCCTGTCTCCTGATTAATTCCCCCAGCAAAGCATGCAGGATCACTTAGCCTTGCTCAGACGCTGGTGACCATCTTTCGATTTCCTGGAGCAAGAGTGTATATGCTAAATGGCGGTGTCACTTCTCCAGCTTAATTCCTGTGACCCGCTTAACCGCCAACGGGTACCACAGAAGACTGACAGTGTGTCCCAGATCTAGCATCGAAATCACTGTTTTCCAATCTCCGTTGCCTGACTTACAACGTTAGCTGTGGGCATTTGAGTGGTCCATCGACTCAACCCATTTCCATCCCTTCTCTCATTTGTAAAATATGGATGACAATGATGATTATCTTGTAAGTCTGGCATAAGGTTAAAGCATGTGGACAAGTTAGCCTTTAGGGTGTGGTTCTGTAGCAAGAGGTCAGTAAGCATTAGCCAATATAGCTAGCCAACAATACCTATTAGCTCAGAGCATGGAATCTACCACATATTACACACTATTCGTATTCCTGTTTTGCCAATCTTCCCTGAATTAAATTTGTCTGGCCTTTTTAAGCCTGCAGTCTGTTCCTAAAATAGTTAAGACTCTTCCCTGCCTCGGGGCCTTTGCACTAGTTATTCCCCAAGCTTGAGCGTATTTCCCTGTATTCCTGAATTCTACTCTCTTTTTTTTGTGGGGGGAGAGTGGTACTGAGCATTGAACTCAGGGACACTCCACCACTGAGCCACATCCCTAGCCCTGTTTTGTATTTTATTAGAGACAGGGTCTCACTGAGTTGCTTAGCACCTCGCTAAATTGCAAAGGTTGGCTTTAACTTGCGATCCTCCTGCCTCAGCCTCCCGAACCATCGCCCCCAGCCCTGAATTCTACTCTTGTGGAGGCTCCATTGTCACTTCCTCTGAGAGGTTCTTCCTATGTGAAGCCTACAATCACACACCTGTTTTATTTGTTATTGTGGCACTGGATTCATTTCTCCTATAATTACTTTATTTATTACTTCTAGATTGCCTTGACCCTTACAGTAGCCTGTGAACTCTCCAAAAGAGACCCACTTTCCTCACTTCTTGCCATCACCAGTATCTACACGGTGTCTAATACTGCATACGTTTTTTTGTTTTTTTTTTTTCAACGAATAGATGAATGAGTTAATAGCAGGGTTGGAGGAATGCATGGCTTTCACAAAAGTTAACAAATGAAATAGTTGGCACACACCAAAAGGCCTTGCAGGAAATCCAAGTCCTCCTTCAGCGTCAGCTGCTAACAGAAGTTAGCAGCTCTTCCTTATCAAGACGGACAAGACTTACATGGTCCTTGGAGCTCCTTAGAAGGGGGAACAGCAATGCATACACACAAAAGATAATCTTGTTTCTTTTTATGAATTCAAAATAATTTTTGAAAAGGAACAGGCCCTCCCAAAGTATGACGCCCATGCAATCTTAGCTTTAAGTAGCAAAAAAATCCCCCAAATAGTTTTATGATCTCTAATGTGATGCAGATGTAAAGGGTAAGAATTTGATGGTCAATTAATTTAGAAAATATCCAGGGCCTCGCAGAGGTTCAACTTATTGACTTTGAAATTCGACTCATGATTACAAAGCCCTCCTCCCTCCTCTCTTCCCCATCTCTAGATATAAAAAGAAAGGAAAGCTTGTAATATGGCTTATGGAATGTTCTAGAAGGGTTGTTAAGCTGTTCTTCATAAAAAAAAAAAAAAAAAACTCTTGGACCAAGTTTTTCTGTCTCTTTCCAGTTGGGACGGTTCCTGAGCACTGAAGTCAAGTAATATTAAACTGGCTGACTGCTGAGAGCCAATGATTGTGGGGAGTTGAAAGGAGAGGGCTGGCATCTTTGGGCTTCATTAATCTTCGAAGGAATGAAAGCTCTGGCCACTGGACTAAATGCCCACATGTCAGAGCTTGATTTCCTGTTCTTCTGGGGGTTTTTTTGGTCTGAATGTAAAGCAAATGTCTCAGGGAGTTCTGAACAGCTAGGGGGCATGCTCCTCTCTGCTACGTGACTAGACCTTGAATTTGAGAATTAATCCCCAGCCCCAAGAAAGGAAAGAGCTATCAAGGCTAGAGGCAATGAGATGCAGTCCCTGTTACTCATCAACCATCCATCAATCCAAAGCTTATTGAGCCTTCTCAGTACTGTAGGGGCAACGTAATGTCCTCTTCTTTGCATTCAACCTTTTTCACCTGTACCTCCAACACTGTCATTTTTCACACCGGTGTTTTTTTTAATATAACATTTTCCTCCAGGGGGAACAAACTAGGCATACGCTTTTGTTGATAACAGCTTTGTTAACAATTCACACACCATGCAATTCATCCATTTAAGTGCACAACTTCATAATTTTCAATAGATCCAGAGTTCAATAGCAATCAAGAACATCAATATTAAAATTTTTCATTCCCCCAAAGGAAACCTCATATTCTCACCCAAACCCACATCGCCTCTACTTGAGCCTTCTAGGCAGTCACGGGTCTACTTTCTGTCCCTATAGATTCTCCAAGTCTGGAAATCGCAAATAAAGAGAATCCCATCATATGAGTTCTGTTTTTGTGACTGGTTACAATAGCTTTTTATTTATGACTTGTTTATCTTTGTGCCAAAGTTCTAATAAAAATTTATTTGAATGAATGGTTTTTGCTTCTACTATCAATTCACCATGGTGTGTGATTACATGGGAGGAATGGAGGACATAAATTTTGACTACAAGTTATTTTTAATCCAGATGATGAGAGAAGATAGATCTCAAACACCACACTGAGCTAAATCATATGAACTAAGGTAAGGGGTATACATGGATTGGAAGAAGAAGATGATATATTGCAAAGTCCCCCCCTTTTTTTTTAGAGCAAATGTAGGGGCCAAATGTATCAAGTAATACAGATGTAGTTTTTGGATTCTAGGTTAACTTCTCACCAAAACATTCCTTTTAGCCTTGCCATCTTTATCTATATCTAAATGTCTGTATAATCACCTATTTCTACTTTGATTTCTGCTTCTCTATCTTCATCTTTTTGTATAATATTCATCTTGATTTGGGGGAAGCAGCACAGAGTTTCTTTTCCTTTCATTCATTACCATGGTTCTCCTCCTGAAACACGAATAAAGTGACTGACAATTTGATTGATGAATACTACACAGCTTCAGATGAGATAATCTTCAGCACATCCCCCATTACCCTCTTTCTAATCTCCTATATTCTGGCTGGGCATTTTCCAAATCTCACCTTCGGTTTGCTTATTGACAATGCAGCACACTAACTTCGTAGAATGGAGCCCAATAGCCTTTCCCATGTGGATCTTCCATCTTGCTTCACACTCTGTGTGTTTAAAACAAAATTGATTTTTTTCCCCGCTTAGAACATACTCTTCACTCTAATTCAGTGAAACCATGAACCGTTGAAACCTGAGAATCAACGTCTGACTCCTCCAGTTCTCCGTAGTCCATGACCTACTTTTATCATCAGTCTATTAATGTCTGCCTTAGATCGTATTTGACCAGTTATTTATTTTTTTGTGTCTAGCTCCTTAGTAACAAATTGCAGATAACTACTGTTATCCCCACAAAGGAAACTGTGGGGAAAAAAAATTGCAGACACTCAATTCTTCTTTGGAGTCATGAGAACACATTCCTCAGCAAGACTTCCAACTCTATCACCTGCCTCAGTGTGGCTGTGTGGTCTTGGAGAAGTAGTTTAACTTCTACCATAAAATAGGAACATTTTATATTAGTAATAGCATAGGGCGGTGCAAGAACCAAAGGAAATGATCTCTGTAAAGTACTTACATAAATGCCTGAAGCAAAGCAGGAACTCAGACCATGCTATCTGTTTGTGGACGTTGGAGTAGTATCTCTCTATCCATAGTTTTGCTTTCAGCAGACTCAGTTACCTGCAACCAATCAAAAATTGTATATAGAAAATTTCAGAAATAAATCATTTATAAGTTTCACATTGAGTATTGTTTTGAGTAGCATCATGAAGTCTTACCTCATCCTCTTCCCTCCTTGGAATGTGAATCATACCATTGTTCAGCATATCACCACAGTGTATGCTACCTTCCTCATAGGTTCTCCTCAGTCATCTTGATGATCAGATTTACTATCATGCTATCAACAGTGCTTATGTTCAAGAATCTCTTATTGTTTTTGATGGTGACCTTAATGCACAAAATGGGATTTGCCAAAGAGAGACCGTAAAGTACTTCTTCTACATGAAAAGGTGGAAGTCCTAGACTTTAGGAAAGGAAAACAAAAAATCAAGTGTTGGGCTAGCCAAGATCCACAAGAACAAATTTTCTATGCATGAAATTGTGAAGAAAGACAAAAAGCATTCATGCTAGTCTTGCTGCCTTCAAACTGTGAAAGTTATGGCCTCAACCTGTGATAGGTGTTTAGTAAAGATAGAAAGGGCATTAAATTTGTGTATGTAAAAAAA